CTTTTTCTGATAAGATTTCTCAGGGTCTGTCAATTTCTTTTTATTTGTTCAAGGATCGAACTCATTGTTTGTTGATTCCTTCTATGTTTTTCTTGGAATCTAATTAGTTTAATTTGATTTAGTTGTAATTATTTCTTCCTGTCTATTGGATTGGGGTTTATCTTGCTGCTCTTTCTCAAGGAAGTTCAGATGTCTCATTAAATTGTTGGTTTCAGATGTCTCCAATTTGTTGATGTAGGAAATCAGAGCTATAAACTTGCTTATGAGTACTTCTTTTGCTGTGTCCCAGAGGAACTATTTGTGTGTTCATTTTTGTTGAATATCATGAACATTTGACTTTCCTTTCTAATCTCTTCAATGATCCACTGGTGATTAAACAGTGTGTTGTTCAGCCTCCATGTGTTACAGGACCTTCTATGGTGGCTTTTGGTGTTGAGTTGTGATTTTATTCCCTTGTCTGAGAGCATGCAGGCCATAACTTCAATGTTTCTGAATTTGTACCAGTTTGTTTTGTGACCTAAAATGTGGTGTATTTTGGAAAATCTTCTGTGTGCTGCTGAGAAGAATGTATAATCTGATGCTGCATGGTGAAGTATTTGGTAGAAATCTGTTAAATCTAGTTGATCTATGCAGCTGTTTAGATTTGCGGATTCACTTTTGAGATTTGCTGAGTTGATCTAACTAGTGAGGATAGTGGTGTGTTAAAGACCTCAACACTTAATGCCTTTGTATCTATGTGAGATTTGAGAGAAAGTAGTGTTTCTTGGATAAATTAGGGTGCTCTGTTGTTTGGTGAATAGATATTTAGAATTGCTATATCCTCCTGAAGGAGAGATTCTTTAATTAGTATGTAGTGAACTACTTTTTCTCTTCTCACTAATTTTAATTTGAAGTCTATTTTATGTGATATTAGGATCCCTACTCCCACATGTTTATGGGGGCCTTTGCTTGGTAGATTTTATTCCAGCCTTTCACTTTCATAATATGTTTGTTTTAGTTGGGACAGTGTGACACCTGAAAGCAGTATATAGAAGGATCTTCCTTTTTAATCCAAGTAGGCAGTCTATGCTGCTTAATTGAAGAGTTAAGTCCATTAATGTTGAGACTTAGGACTGAGAGCTGTTTGGTGGTTCTGCCATGTTATCTACCTTCTTAGCAGCTGCGACAACTTGGTTCTTCACATAGTTCTTGGATTCTCAGTTTGGGTGCAGTTTCTTGGCCTTTATTGTGGTCTTGTTGGTTTTCTATGTGTAGGACATCTTTAAGTATCTTTTGTAGGGCTGGTTTGGTGGGGATCAATTGTCTCAGTTTTTCTTTGCTATGGAAGATTTTCATTTGACCTTCATTATGAAGGAGAGTTTAGCTGGGTACAGCATTCTTGGTTGATAGTTGTTTGTCTCTAGGGTGCGGTATACATCATTCTAGCCTCTTCTTGCTTCAATTGTCTCTGCTGAAAAATTTGAGGTGATTCTAATTGTTTTCCCTTTATATGTGATTGATCTTTTCACCTTGAAAGCTTTAAAAATCCTTTCCTTGAGCTGAATCGATCCTGTGCAGATTATAATGTGATGGTGGGATGTCCTGTTCAGGTCTGGTATATTTGGGGTTCTAAAAGCTTCTTGTATCTGAACAGGCCTATCTTTTTGCATGTTTGGGAAGTTCCCGGATGGGATCCTGTTAAATAAATTTCCTAGATCTTTAACTTCTGTCTCTAGTTGCTCCTCTACATCTATTATTCTCAGATTAAGACTTCTGATGGTGTCTACAAATATTGAATCAATCTATCATATTTCTTGAATTTGTCTTGGATAATTGTATGCTCTCTCTCTATAATATCTTGGCTGTCTCCAATCTCTGAGATTCCAACTTCTGCATGGTCTAACCTACTGTCAAGACTTTCTACTTGGTTTTTTAATTTTCTTACCTTCTAATTGTTTGGCTTTGATGGCTTCAAATTCCTTGTGGGAGCTTTGTTTTAGATATTGTATGAACTTCTTTACTTCCTTAATTTAGTGTTCAGTGTTTATTCTCAAATCACTTAGTTGATTCCTTCTGTCGGGCTCCATTTAGCATTCCCTTTGTGGTCTGTCTGGATTCCTTCAGCTGTCTGTTTATGGATTCCATGTATACCTCTATTGATCTTTGTCTATTCTCATCCTGCTCACACAATTCCTGTCTTACTCTTTGATTAGCTTCCTCATGCTCATACAATTCATGTATTTTTCTTTGACTGTTCTCAGCCTGCTCATGCAATTCCTGTCTTTCTCTTTGGTTGTTCTCAGCCTGCCATCCAATTCCTATAGTAATCTTTGATTAGCTTCCTTATGCTCATGAGATTTCTGTATTAATTTTTGGTTAACCTTATCATGCTCGTGAAGTTCCCATATTAATCTTTGGTTGCCCTCACCTTGCTTCCTATAATGGTCACACTGAATCCTCTACACATTTTCATACCTTTCATTCACCATGTTTACCAGTAGTGTTTGTAGAGCTTTTTGGGAACTCTCTTCTGGATTTTTCATTAAATGTTCTGTCACCTCATTATCATGAATGGGAGTTGAGATACCCGGACTTGCCATTTTTCTTGTCTTTCTCCGGCTTGTTCTGTCCATTTGGTAAGAAAGTAACACCAATTTTGTGCTAGAACACTATTTTAAGGCAAGCATCAACCAGAGTCCTGTAGTTACACATTAAAACGGCTGCCGATACAATCTAGTTCAACAGATACAATCTATTCATCATCAAACAACAATGGATTAATGGGCTTAGGACATCAAAGAAAGATTCAGATGACCAGACCTTAATAGGTTTAGGGAGAATTGTGAGGAAAAATAGGATTAGAAGAATATGGTGAGGTAAAAGGAAAGAGTAAATTTTACCAAATCCTAATCTCAGAGAGGGAATGGATAGGACTTAATGAAAGGAGAGAGAGAAAAAAAGAAATAAGAAAAACAAAAATTTAAATATTGAAATACTTAAAATTATGGAAGAATAAAGAAATGATATTGTTGAAGAAAGGGATAGGATGAGAGGAGGAGAGAGATGAGAAGGAAAAATGAAAAAATAAAAATTTGAAAAATGGAACACCTAAATATTTTATAATTCTAAAGGAATAATACAAGTATTAAAGAAGTTAAGCCTAAGAGATTGTAAATTGATTAGTAAATTCCTGGATTAATTCTGTACACAATGAGGAATAAGGTCTAAGAATAGATGACAGCTATATATTGGGGAATCAGCAGACTAGCAATTAATCACTCAAAACAAGAAAGGAAAAAGGGCTAAATGGTTAAAAGAGATTTCACACACACACCTGAAATAAAAATTATGAAAGAAAAAAATGATAAAAAAACAAACTTTTTCGAAAATTAAAAAAATTAAGTAGAAAAAAGAGTTGTTTGATTTTTTTTTTTGGTGGAGGGGGAGATCTTTTATTTCCCCTCTGTCTGTAACCAGTCTCTTGGTGGAGTCTCTGGTTGGCTTGTGGTGTTTGGTTTTCCTGTGGCTTGATTGGTTTCTTAAGCTTGTTAGAGCAAGCAGAAAGAAGGTGTTCCTCCCCCAGGACTTTGTGATCCTCCTCCCAGTGTAGTTGAGTGGGAGGGAGTTCTGCTTTGAGTATCAGAAAAGCTGGAGATGTCTGTTTCCTCTAACTTGGAGTTGCTGTGCTGAGGCTAGGTTCTGGGTAGGGTTGAGGCCTACAGCAATCAGTAGCTTTTCCCTGAGGGGCTAGCTCCTAAGACACTCTTAAAGCCCAGCCTGGAGCCATTCTCAAGGTTTATGTTTACTGAGTTTTAATTCTTTGTGTTTTACCCCTTCTGCTGACTAGGCTGCAGTGGGAGGGGCAGCCTCTGCCTCTGTTTATCCAGTGAAGAAAGTCACTTCTCCCGAAGTGGAGCTTCCCCTCTCTGAATGGAGCTGAACCTGGCAAGTCAGGTCAGGTTCTTGTGACCTGTTGAATGGCTCCTATGGTTTTCTTTCAAGGCCTGAGTTGGAGCTAGCTTCTCTGGCAGGGCATTTGTCAGTAACAAAGATGGAGATATTATCCGGTGGTGGGGGAGGGCCTACCTTCCCACTGCTGCTCCATTAGAAGGATTGAGGTTATCTTGCTTCTACTCATGCCAGACTCTGTTCCTGGGCTGTCTCTGGTCTGCGAATAGCAGGATGAAAATTTCTGCCCTTGTCAGTTCTTACTGTTGGTGAATAGGATCTGCTCACACACCGTGTCTGGTACCTTTGTCCTGGATCGTCTCTGTTGATATGGTGGCAGTGGTAACTGCCGCCACCATTGCCACCGCTACCCCTGATGTGCCTACTGTCAAGTGATCAGATCTGTCTTCTTGATCAAGCTACCTGGATTTTTCCTCTCTGACCAAACTCTCTGTACTGTGATGGCACACTTGGTATGATTCTCCAGCCTAGGACTGTTCACTGGAACAACACTAAAACTGCTTTCAATGAAAGACCTTCTTCAGCCTCCAGCTTCTCCTCAGCCATCTTACTCCAGAGTGATATTTTGGATTTAGACTATTGAAAAGTTGAGAGCTTATATCACACAAAGTGAGCATGAGGACAGGAGACATAGCACTTCCTTATCACAGATGCTGTGTTCTTCAAGTCATATCATGGAGAGAATGGCAGGGCGAGTTTATCTTGTATTTTCCCTAAAGGAGGCAGACTACCTAATTCCATCAGCTATGAAAGATTCTAGAAAGTCACTATGCCTGGAACATATCACCTAACATAAAAGTCATTACTTGTGAGGACAGAAATGCCCCTGGTGGCTCATGGTGTGCTGGTGGCTCTTCTATGTGATGAAGAAGCACCTCGTGGAGGGCGTGGGCCACGGCATACATGGTGGTGTAGATATTGAAACTTTCTTGTGACACGACCATATCAAAAGTGTGTCCCTGCACCAAGCCACAGTGGCATTGGATGAAGACTGCCCCAATTTTCTATAATCAGACTTAATCAGTATGCACTGAACAGCCCAAATCCATAACCTAGGAAGAGAAATATCTCCTGAGTCCTTGGAATAGTTATCTCTTGGGTCAAAATTGGTGAACCCAGAAATGTCTGTATGGTGGTGAGAGAAGATGAGAGTTGCGTGGAAGGAGTCTAGCAGGAAGTATCTTTTGCTAAGGGTCATGTCATCATAGGGTGAATTCATGACCCAGACTTTCCCTGTAATTAAAAAATCCCCAATTTAAGAATAAAGCTTAGTAGCAATTCAATTTCTCTGTAAATGATTATCACATTGGTTGAGCATTCCATGATCTGGCGATGTCTTGGTTGATCAGTTGATAAATCTGATGGGCTGTTTGTCAGGATCATATTCGCAAAGGTAAGACAGACTACATTCTTGTCCATCTCCTCTCTCAATTCTGAGAGGAACCACACACCATAGTTGTCTTTGGTTATGAGCAGTCCCACCCAGGTCCAGCCAAATTGAAGTATCAAGGAGACTATGGCCAGGGCTAGAGCTGAGTCCTTGGCAGCTATCTGATTGACAGCACCAAACTGTCCATGGTCACTCAGGAGAGGATCAAAAGACCCATAGGTTAACTAAAGGGGGAAAAATAATCACAACAGCAGGAAGAGGATGGTCATTGTCAGGGTCACAGTCCTGATGAGCAGCCAACAACCGCTTGCAGTGGTGGGAGTGAAGGTTTGCTTATCCCACTTGTTTTTTTGTCAGTTGTGGGGCTTGAACTCTGGGCCTGGGCACTGTCCTTCACCTCTTAAGCTCAAGGCAAGCGCTCTACCACTTGAGCTTCAGCACCATGTCCAGTTTTCTAGTTGTTTCTTGGAGATATGGGTCTCACTGTCTTTCCTGCCCTGGCTGGCTTTGAACCGCGATCCTCAGATTTCAGCCTCCTGAGTAGCTAGGATTACAGGCATGAGCCACCAGTGCCTGGCTTGCTTAATCCACTTGTAATATCACCTCTCATGCTCCAAGATTTTTGTAAAATTGTATGGATCAGGATCAGAGCCTGGGCTCACTCTTTGCTCTCTTATAAAGTCTCCTTTTATCTCTTCCAACAAACATAATGTGGATGCCCCATCCAATGTGGGGATTTTTTCCTTTGAGGCCGTTCAGTATGTGAGGCTCATAATACCACCTCTTTTTTCCACTTCTTCAAACTATTGAGGACAGGTTCAAGGTGGACTTAGCTTCACATCTGCCCTCCCCTTCCATACTCACCTGTGGAAGCTTGTAGAGGTCCAGAAGTGTCAAGATTGGGTCAGATGTGCTTGAAGTTCTTGTGAGTACTGCTAAATCTTTGCTGTCTCTCCTGCAGGTGCAATTAGGACGATTTTTATTTTTCCCAGACAGCAAGGTTAATGGATTCTCTAACACACCAGTTTCTACATAATGTGAAATATAGATCTCAAACCCTAGTGTCATGTTGGGTAGCAGATTGGGATTGTGTTGATTTCCTCAACTGTGAGGGTCAGAGACAGAACTAATTGGCATTTCCTTAGTTGAACCTGCACAGAGGCCACAGAGATTCAGGTATGTAAACATGTATTACAAAGGATTAAGTTGAAATCTCAATACTTTGTTGAATTGAATGGTTTTCTGTACACACAGTAATATGTTTGGAGCCTGTCTTCAAAGAGGATGGAATTAGAATTTGGATCATTAGGAAGATAATGAGAATTTGGAGAGTTCCTGAACCAGAATTTGAATAAAGAACACTAGATTGCTGTTCTGAGATAGAGAGGGAGTGAGCTGGCTTCTCCTGTCTGTCATTTGTGGATACATGAGAAGCACTTATATCTAGGCCATAGAGCTTCTCTAGTTCCCACACCAAGTTATTGGTTACCTTGAAGTAGGTCTGTGTATGAAATATATGAAGATTAGGTCTGTATCTGAAGTAAATGGAATGTTTGAGATACTAGTTGGCAAAAACAGCAATTAGAGCCGGATGCCTATGGCTAACACTTGTAATTCTAGGTACTCAGGAGGCTGCGATCTAGGGATCATGGTTCAAAGTCAGCTGGAGCAGAAAAGCCCATGAGACTCTAATGTCCAAGAAACCACTAGAGAACCGTAAGTGGCGCTGTGGGTCAAGTGGTAAAGAGCTTGCCTTGAGCTGAAGAGCACAGGGACAGTGCCCAGGACCAGAGTTTATGCCCCACTACTGACAATAATAATAATAATAATATCATCATTATCATCATCACCAATAAGGACATTATCTGAGGAAAAAGACAGTCTCCCGGAACAAAATATCTGTCCTGGTGTGGAGGGATCCTGGGGATAAGTGGTCATCCCGATGCCAGTGGAAAACTGCATCCATAAGAGGGATGGTGTCAGATCCTAAAGGGAGTCACTTTGTGCTTGTCCTTTCAAAACTAAGCACAGCTGGGAGGTCAAAAGAAAATAGTTGAAAAGTATGTCTATTTGATGCCCATATCTGTTTACCTTCTAACTGGGCAGGAATTTATATGTATTACCTATTATTTTTATGTAAGGTAAGTTTTTGTTTTTAAGGCTATGGTTGTGAAATTGGGGATAGCTTAAAAGTATCCAGAAGGGCAGACTCTACTCTTTGCTCAAGGCTATGTTTGTAGTAAATTTTTGATATGGAAGCAGATACATATATTCAGCCAGTCTGATAAAGAGGGTAAGGCTGGGGTGTTAGTAAATCAAAAGCCTCTTCTCACAAGCCCAAAATAGGATATCTGGTCATTTGGCTCTAATAGAGCTCAAACACAGACGTAAAGCAGTGTTCATATACATTCTAAATATTCTTTCTTGGTATTGTAAAACCCCAATTAATCATGGATCTAAGATCTTGTCCCCATTGAAAGATGTCTGGGAAGCTTCACAGAAAGCTGATATGCACTGTAATGGTCACCACAGTTGAGGTTCTCCAGTCAACCAGGGACATGCTTTTGCACACCAGAGTGCTAAGCAGGCTGTAGTGCTCTGCTCTAGGAAAATGGCTTGACTACCAGCACAACTATGTTTATAGAAGCATTATTCAGCACAGCTAAGATATAGAACCTATCCAGATGCCCCTCAGTAGATGAATGGATCAAGAAAATGTGACACACACACACACACACACACACACACACACGCACACACTGGAATTCTATGCCTCCATCAGGAAGAATGAAGCTGCCCAATTTTCTAGAAAATGGAAAGAACTGGAAAAAATCATATTAAGTAATGTATGCCAGACCCAAAGAAATATAGGTCCCATGGTTTCCCTTAATTGTAATTTTGGTATATGTCTAGGCTAATCTTATCAGATGATCTGAAAAGCTCAAAAGTTATGTACATATGACCATATAAAATGATGCTCAGCAAAATGAACCCCAATGTACAGACACATGAGGTTTTTCTTTGTTGTTGTTTTTAATGTACTATGTGATTTTTTTGTTTCTTATGTATGTTCTTTCTCCTATGGCATATCCCTGTTGTCACTGTATTTGATTTAGGTACCTTGAATCTTGTATATACATTTATCTAATTTGGGGAGGGGAAGTGGGAATAACAAAATTCTGAAAGAAGGACACAGGATGATCCATTGCAACAATGATATTCACAAGACACTATGTTGGAAATGCTCTTTATGTATTTGGGGGAGAGAGGAGTGAGAGAGGTGGGAGAGGGAAGGGATGGTAGGAGAAAAACAAAGGAGGGGTAACAATGTTGGACTAGAAATGTACTCATTACCTTACTGATGTTTCTGTAACCCCTCTGTACAGCATCTTTACAATAAAATAAAAAGATTTAACCACCACCCAAGAATGGCTTGGATCCCTTCTATGCTCAAATTTCTTCAGATCAACTTTTACCTAAATGGAAGTAACCCTGTTCAGTTCTTCTCAGTATTCCCACAGCTGTGAAATTGTCTGTTGTTAACTCTTGGATACACATTTCTAGAATAAAAACTTTATATCTTTATCCCCAATCTCAGGTTTCAGGTTCATGTAGACACGAGGTCTCACAGGACTTCTCTACCTGTAAACCTCTAAAAGACTTGAGATTCCTCTTCAAGATTAATAAAAGGAGAGTTAACCACATTGCCTGAATGTTGTGATCAAGTTTCCAATTTTAAATTTCTGTGGACTCAATTATAAATAGCATTCTTTAGTCTCAGAACAATTGTTAAAGCTCCTTCATTAAGCTTAGGATGTATAAGAAGTCACCTTTTCTAATGACTATTTCCTGGGCTGAATTGGAAAGTAACCCATTTTGACAGTGGGCCCAATTTTATATAAGGGAGGTTATTTCTGGCTAACTTCCACTCTTGGGCAATTGAGCTCAAAGACTTCTCTCTTCTGGAAATAGCACTGTCATACTTATAGTCAATGGGATGGGAAAACCTCTCCTGCAGAACAGGAAGATGTTAGCTATCACTCCTGCAGCCTAAGGAGGAACCTGCAGAACTGTAAAGGTTAAATGCTGTGTGTATATTCCAGACAACTCAAATATCTCCCCAGCCCCTCTGGTTCTACACACTCAAAATGATACTAAGTCTGACTCTGCTCTTAGTTTTAACAAATGCCTTGCTTAATGGTTCTCTGGAACGACTTGTGGGGAAATTTGTTATTTATATTTATGGCATTAATAGGTGGGGGTGTATTGATCTACTGCACCTTATATAGCTTCTGAGGGTTATTATGATTCAGAATTTCTTGTTTGACTTCCTTTCCAGTTTTTTGTTAAAGAATGCTCCTAATGTTGTCCCAAACTGACAATTGAACAACAGAACTTCCCATGTCACCCATTGATAAGATAGGACAAGACTTGAACTGTCAATGTCCCTGCTCAGCCTGATGCAGTGACAGAAACAGATCTTCACCAATCAATGTCCTTTAAGATTAAGGGACCAAAATCATTTGAGGGGAGTGAGGCAGGATAACCTCGGAAAACTGTGGCAGGGTAAATGATTGACAGTAATTAAAACGCTAGTTGCTAATACAGAAGATTTTTGCCCATCTACATCTTTTATGATTAAGGGAACAAAGTCATTTCAGAGGAAAATGAAAGATAATCCAGGGAAAATGAGGCATGGGTAATGGTTGCCAGACATGACCAAAAACCCCTCAAGCTTAAAGGTAATCCATCCAATTCCCTTAATATTAAAGTAAGAAAGTCATTTTAGGGGAAAATGAGGCAGGAGAAATTGAGGAAACATGGTACATAGAAATACAGAAGCACTATCTTTGCTTCAAAGAGAGACAGCAGGGTGCATTCCTTCCTGTGAGGTGCATATCTTACCCCAAGAATTAATATTTGTCTGGCAGGAAATATTTCTTCCTGAGAAAATGCTCCCCCAAACTTAAGCAACATGACTCCTTTTTTCTTTTCTTTTTTTTATTTTAATGGCTTCCTTTCTTTTTCTTTTCTTTCTTTTTGGTGAAAATATCATACAGAGGGCTTACAATTACATAGGTAAGATAATGAGTACATTTTGTACCAAGAATTGTAGCCTCCTGCTTTGTTTCCCCTACCCATCCCTTCCCATGTCCCACCTCCCCCCTGTCCCCACCCCTCCCCTGGCAAATTTGTAAAGTTCGTTTTTCTTTTCTTTTTTTTTTATTGTGAAATAATGTCTAGAGGGTTTACAATTACCTGGGCAAGATAATGAGTACATTTCTTTTCAAGCATTGTAGCCTCCTTTGTTTCCCCTCCCCATCCCTTGCCATCTTCCCCCGGTCCCTAACCCAACCCTACTCCCCCGCCATTAAAGTTGTAAAGTTAGTTTTTGACATAGCGACATGTGCATCTCATTGTTGCAATGGGTCCACCTGTATCCCAATTTAAATGATTTGTTTTTTCCCTTCCCCTCCACAAATTATACAAACATGAAATACAGTGAAAGCAGGGGTTATACTGTAGGGGAGGGACATACAAAGCTACAAAGAAATAATCTTATAAATATGTAAGAAACAATTGCATGAAAGCAAAAACATTTGAATACTTATCTTCGGGTTCATTTCACCTAACATAAAGTTGTCTGCCCTTTCCGCTTTTCTCAGACATATACTAGTTATTGCACATAAGGGAAACCATGGGACCTATGTTTCTTTGGGCCTGGCTTACTTCACTTAATATAATTTTTACCAAGTCTTTCCATTTCCTAACAAATGGGGCAATGTTATTCTTTCTGATGGAGGCATAGAATTCCATTGTGTATATATACCACATTTTCTTGTTCCATTCTTCAACTGAGGGGCATGTAGGTTGGTTCCATGTCTTTGCTATGGTAAATAATGCTGCATTAAACATTGTTGTACTGGTAACTTTAGTATGGTATTGTTTGTGATCATTTGGGTAAATGACCCAAAGTGTGATTGCTGGGTCATAAGGGAGCTCTATGTGGAGTCTTTTGAGGAACCTCCATACTACTTTCCAATGGTTGAACAAGATTACACTCCCAC